TACCATCAGCTTCGAATGCTGTGTAAGGTCTTTCTTCAACAGAAATGGGAATTTGATGATATGCTGATTTCAAATCAATAGTACTGAATATGGCATAACTAGCCACTTTACTTACAATGTCGTCAATCGGGGGTAGTGGGTAAGCATCAAGTAAAGTATATTTATTTATTGTTTGTGAATAGTCAATAACTAGACGTTTCTTATGGTTTTCGTTTTCATTCACAGTGATTAGTGGCTGAGCTCACCAGGGAGAGTTAGTCTCTTCAATAATGCCCTCAGATAGCATGTTTTGTACCTCACAGGTAATGAATTGTTTGTCTTCATCTGAAAATCTTCGAGTCTTAGTGGCAATGGGTCGTATATTAGGAACTAAATTACTGAACAATTTTTGAGATACAACATCAGCCGATAGTAAGCTACATATAGAAAGTGGTGGTCTAGGTCCTCCAAAAGATATGTCAACATGAGAGTGATACTTCATGAGATCATGGCCGAGTAATACATAGATGTATAATGCCTGCACATAACTGAGGCAAAATTGACAACTTAAAACCATTTACGTATGACCTTGAATATGTAAGTCTACTAATACGTAGCCTAATACTTTAGATGTCAAAGTTGTAGTAGCCATAGAAACCTGTCCACTTCCAGGTATTACTTTAATTCCGTGTTTTAAAACAAAATCATGATTTATGTAGCTATCAGAACTACCAGTATCAATTCAAGAGTTAGCATGTCTACCATTTACTCTGGCTGAGACGACAGCTTTTGACAAGCAAGCAGGTCCAGCAGCAGTAATATTAGCTGTGGTATTTTCAGACGAATCTGAAAAAGCGGAGACTTTATTGTTTTGACTAAAACCTCTGTTGATAGCTTTGGATTTACATACCTTTGAGAAGTGACCTTTTTTACCACAAAAATGGCAAGTGACATCTTTTGCTGGACATACGGAACGTGGATGACGCTGATGGTCACAGAAGAAGCACCTAGACTGTGCAGCAGCTAACATTTTTGAATTTTCTGACTGAATTAAATTTTCTTCCTCCTTAATACTCTGACTTGCCTTAGGAATTGCATTTAGTACTTCACTAGTAGAATGATTTATGTATTTATCATAAACTTGTGCATTATTCTGAACCATTTCTAGAGCTAGAGATTGATTGATAGCATCTTGAAGTTCTAATTGTTTGTTTTCCAAGAGCCGTTGTCGAATGTCAGCAGATAGTAAACCATTTATAAATGCATCTTGTATGTAGTCGCATCGGTTTTGTTCTGAAGTTACAGATTTGAATTCACAGTCTTTGCTTAATGATTTCAAAGCTTGGACATATTGTTGAATGTTTTCATTTGAATTCTGTTTTCTTGTAGCTAGTTTGTGTCTTGCAAAAATTACATTAGGAGATTTGCAATATATCTCTTTTAATGTCTTGATAGCTTCTTCGTATGTTGAACATTCTTCAATGAATTCAAATGTCTTATAAGACACAGCATTGATAAGTACTTTTAAAACATCTTCATTTGAAGCTTTAGCAATGTCAACATAGTTTTGGAAAGTCTTGATCCAGTGAGAAAATTCTTTTTTTGCTGTTGGAGAATCCGGATTGATATCTAGAAGTTGTGGTTTTAGTATTTTCTCCATTTGATTTGTTTTTACTCAAATAAATTGTTGAATTAATGAATAAACCTTTCACAAATTTTAAGGCTTTATTTGAGTAAAAACCAACATTACAGAACAACACAAATAAACAAGTTAAATTTGCATGGTAACCAGGACAGCTGATCAAAGTTGTAATATCAAGGATATTAGAAATCATCACACTCACCTTCTTGCTAATCTGTCGTCTCACTGGATCCATGGCCCATTGTTGGACTGGTTTTCGTCTTACCTCTGTGGCCGGAAACTGATGGTGAAGTTTGCCTCCTGTACCTCAAGATCGATCTCTGCTACATCTGGCGTCCCCCAGGGCTCACATCTCGGACCAGTACTCTTCAATATCTTTATTAACGACATCTCCAGAGTCATTCATGTCAAGCACCTCTTGTTCGCCGACGACATCAAGCTGTATTCAGCCATCAAATCTATCGATGACTACTATGAACTCCAGGATAGTCTTTCTGCTGTGGAGAGATGGTGTGCCGAGAACTCTATGGCACGTCTCTGAACACTTCAAAATGTGTCATCATGACTTTTCACCGGACTTTGGCTCCTGTTTTCCACAACTATCGCTTGAATGGATGCAACCTCGACAGAGTCTTCGTGATTAAGGACTTGGGTGTTATGTGCACTGCTTCCTTGAGTCCAGAAAAACATGTTCTCTATATAAGCGCAAAAGCAAATAAGAACTTGGGTCTCATTACCCGATATTCACGAACCTTTTCGTCACCATTGGCACTGAAAACCCTCTATTGTCACCTCGTCAGATCACACTTAGAATACTGCTCAGTAGTGTGGTCTCCCTACCAACACTATCTTCAGGAAAGCGGAAAGACTCCAGTCAATACAAACTCGGTTTATCCGCCTAGTGGGTCTTCGCCTTGGATACCGCTACGCGGATGTTCCAGTGTGCGCCTTGGCAGCTGACTTGAATCTTCCTACGCTGGTGTCTAGAAGGAAAATCTTTGATCTGATGTTCCTACATAGACTGGTCAACGGAGAGATACTCTACCCGGAGTTGCTTTGAGCGGATTAGTTTCCACGTCCCATGAGTGGGTACCAGATTGAGGGAGCTGTTTGCTAGGTCCCACCACGCTACGCTCTACGAACAGCACAGTTCCATCGTTCGCATACAAGCCCTGGGAAACTCTCTGCCGCCTGATATCGATTTCTTCAACAGTGGCACCACTGGTTTCAGAAGATTGATCAGCTCCCTTCCACTTGGTCAGTGAAGATGATATGTGACCGTCCACAGGAAAAGGGACCTTAACTTCCCTGGCAAAATTTTACAGTATGGTACTTTTTAGTGGTTTGGGTCAAAATTTCACATTTTTAGGTTTTGATTGCATATTGTAGCTGGATTCTTTCTGAATATGAAAATGTAATTTTTATACATATATCTTGATTATAACACCCTTAATTATCTAGTTTTCTAAACCTCTGCACTCAACGCAAAAAGGACCTTAACTTCCATATAATAAAATACATTGTGGAAGATAAGGTCCCTTTTACTCTATTACTCTGTGACATTGTATTATTGTCATTTTGTTTTGATGTTTCAACAATAATATAACCTTAAATACCCCCGCCGCAGCAAACCTGCAGACTAAGCAAATTTTAACTTCTCTGATTACATTTTTACTAAAATATTTCCATAAATAAGACATAGGTGTTTATTCCCTATTTAAATAACATTAGATTTAACGAGTGCTTAGGTTTGCTGCTACGGGGAAGGTAAAAAGGGATTTTTGACCATACCTCAATAGTATAGGATGAAATAAAAAAATTTGCCAAATTTTATCAATATATATCCATAAACAAGTAAACTACAACAATTTTCATTTTCTCCATAAGAATAAAATGGAAATTTTAAATTACACTATTTTTGAATTTTCTCTGTGACCGTTAGGCATAAAACAGCGCTTCAATATACTAAATTATTTCTTTTTTTAAGCTCTACAAAATGGTTTAGAAAGAAATTGCAATTTTTTTGTTTTTAGGGTCAAAAATGGGAAAAAACCATTTTTACCCCATAAAACCCCCCATAAACCCCCGTTCCCATGTTCCGATTTTGCTGGATCGCGAACTCATTCGAATAAACGTAGGTTTACACGTTTGTACCAAATTTCATCAAAATAGGATAATTTTTTTTTCGAGTTATCGCGCTAACGGACATATATATATATATATATATATATATATATATATATATATATATATAAATATATACATTTTTGCTTCCAGCTACCAGAAAAAAAATGAAAATGAAAAAAGAAAACATATTTCAAATCAGGACAAAATTACCTACAAGTAGGTACCTCAACTTTGATATTATTGTAAATAATAACAGAAATATTCAATGTTGAATATTACCAAACTTTGACGCTCATTTTCCGAAAACGAGGTTTTTATGATAAAAAACTTTAAAAATTCATAACTCAGTCATTTTTTTGAGATCTCTATATTTTTTTTACCAAAATGTTTGTAATTTAATGGTGTATCCAAAGCAACCAATAACTCAATTTCGAAATTTTGGAAGTTAAGGTCCCTTTTCCTGTGGACGGTCACATATATATCTTCTTCAAGACTATAATACAAGTCAATCTCTTATTAAATTTGTTAAATCCTTTTTATGTTTTGTTGTCCTCGTTGCTCTTTATTGTTATCTTCGTCCTTATTGTTACTTCATTGTTATTCATTTTGTTATTGTTATTGTTATTACTGTTTGCACTTTTGTTATTAGTCATCACTCATCAACTCAATAGTTGTATCACAAAAATTGTATTCTGTATGTAATGGTTTGTCCGTCAATAAATAAATAAATAAATATTCAAAGGTTCAATCTGTGGTTTCAACATACACTTTTCTATTTCTATACACTGTTTATATCACGGCCACCGAGTTAAAGGTGGCCGTGGTTTATGTTCTTTTCAAGTATTCATGGTTTATACAACTTGAAAGAGCATCTGGAAGAATAAGATGTAAACAAAACTATGACAACCGTGGTGCGAATGCACTTCCAACGGGCTTACTTCGAGTATCAAGTATCAAGTAAGTTTATATAGTATAGTTCTGTTGTTAATTACGTCATTTTAAAAGTCTTTGTATGACGTACAACAATATTATTTTCCAGATGACGCACTTCACGTTTTCATTTAATTTCAGTCACGTGACTTATACCAATAGTAGTGGATTTTTCACGTCTTTCCATTGGCTAGCCTAGATCTCATGTGAAGACATTAACCAATAGGAAAGACGGATACATCTACTTCGCAATTGTACCACCAGAGGTTTCCGCGAATGGATTATGTTCCCGTGACGTACAACAAACCTTGCTTGTTCTTGTTCTTAACGTTTTCTTTCCTACACAAGATCTACCGTTCTGTGCATGAGTATTTTGTGTTATTTAATCGTACTATTTCAAAAATGTCGTATTTTATAGTGTTAAACAGTGTTCGGTAGCATAGCCGCGAGTTTTCTTCATACATTCTACGAATCCCAACGTTTCTAGGTAAGTTTAAGTTATGCCATTAGCTTTTATAAAGCTTCGAACTAAACCAAACCAACACATTCCTAGGCCTATTAGTTAGGTCGTATGGATTACGTGGATTTTCGACCTAGGCCTAGGAAGTTGGTAGTCATTAAACCCTGTAGTGCCTACATTTCTGGGCCTTTTTAAGAAATCTTTATTAGCGAAAGTCAGAGAGAGTGGCAGCATATTGTCAAATGAATTGCATCATTCAATCAGAAACCTGACCAATATGGAAACAAAATGTGGGTAGGGATCCGTTTTGTAGGTAGGCCTACTTAGGTCTATTACTTGAACTTACATTTTTTCAACTAAATAGCCTTGGCCTAATAAGTTAAGTTAGTTAAGTTACTTAATTGCTCATGTGATAAGTTTAGGACTTGGCCTTTTCAAGGCTTAGGCTAACTTAAGCGTAAGATAACTTGTGAGAGCTTGCATAGCTGTCTAAATGAGCGGGTTTGTCCTTTTTTGTTTTAAAAATATATTTATTGGTTGTCGGTATTGTCAGCCTTGGGTAGCTTACAGTTTTTTAACCCTGGAACTGCCAATTAAATTTCTTCAAATGCCAACACTTTTTTCAGCAATTAACATACATTTTTTTAAAAATTTGTAAAAAATATTTGTATGACTTAAGTAATGTATTATACATCATTTTATTCAGAAAATAACAAGGAATACAATAGTAAAATTTATTTTGTAAAATAACAAAAAAAATTTTTACACACCATATTTTTTTATACACAAATTTTATAAAAAAATCATTTCCGCATTTTATGTCTCATGTCCAATACACATCAGAAATGCCACAAGAATTCCAAAATAGGTATACATTTTGTTGCAAATTTTATCTAGTTTTTAGAAATAAATTTTGTTTACTGAAAAAGTAATATATTATTCATAAAATTTGAGATTTTTCACATGATGTGCTCGGTGAAAATTCTGCGCGAACCAGACATATGGGAAACATATGTGTCTAGAATTATTATAAGTCATGAAATACAGCACTAGTCAGTCCTAATGTGCTAGGCCTACTAAACAATGTAATTCAACAAAAATCTAAACTAAACATAATTTGAAAAGCATACCTGCTAATTTTTGGACTATGTATCCACGGTAACGATAAACTCTTATATATATGAAAAATACTGGATCGGTCATTTTGTGACCGATGGCACTACGGAACGGACCCTGTCGGTCATAAAATGACCGATCGGCAGTTCCAGGGTTAAAGTGGGCTTTTGGTAATATTGATTGAAAATATTGTTTCGATTTATCTTAGTAAGTTAAACCTTCATTCGATTTTTTTCACTATCAGCAAGTTAGATGAGTTAGGTTAAGTTAACCCTCCGAGTGTTAGGCCTATGTGTCGAAAAATCGACACAACACACTTTGTGTAACTTAGTGTTTTGTGTCGATTTTTCGACTCACAATTACACTGTTTAAGGTAAATGCACCAGTAGATGGCACTTTATGCCAAATATCTCTAAAATAAAATTGTAGTACCGTACAAATAACGTACATGTTGGGGAAAGGTTGGTAATTTTTTTGACTCTTACATGTCTTTGAGAACATTTTTCTAACTTCTGTTATTAAGATTTATTAGGATTTACATTTTAAAACATATATTTACTAACCTTTGTTTTTGCGTTAGTAAATGGCACACCATTTTCCGAGATGCTGCAGTGTATGGCACCCTCATACACCAGTACTTGGCACCATTTTTTAATTCATTTCAAAGCCTGTTCCATTAATGTTTGTGTAACTTTATGATGCAATTAACTTAAGTTGTTTTAAAATTTGCAATTAGGCTATTAAAAAAAACCCCAGTATTTGAATTAAGCCTAAGCCAGACAAGAATTTTATTAAGTTAGGCTTACTTGCATTGCGGGTGATAAAGGAAAAGCATAGGTGGTGTTTTTATATTAGATTACTTTATTCAAAAATTCAGGCCATTTTTAGGAGTTTGATTAAACAACATGTAAAATATATTCAAATTAGGCTTTTCAGTTAACAAGCTAGGCCTACTTAGTAAAATAACTAACATGTTTTTACTGATAACTTAAAATAAATGTCACCATAGGTTTTAAAGATTAAAGACTCAGAATGTGATTTCACTTGTGAAGAGTGTCACCATATGTTTTAAAGATTAGCAGATTTAAATGAGCTAAAACAATTCAAAACTAAGATAACTTAATCATCAACTTCACACTCTTCACAAGTGAAGTCACATTCTGAGTCTTCTCCAAAACTTGGGTCATCTAGTCCAAATCTATTTAAAAAAAAAAATGTTCTTTAGAAATACATTTGATATGGCAACTTTTATTACATCTATCACAGTCAATCCAGGTGCTTTTTATTCCAAGGGATTTTTCTTCATTACAGGATGCCTCGCATATTGTGCATAAGTAGTCCTTCTTCTTATTACCGGTACCTAGTACTAGTTCTCTTTTTAGACATTTGGTTTTTTTTCTTCAACAAGTTTTGCTTCCTCTTTTCTGCCCTCTCAGCTTTAGCTAGTTCTTGCTCTTTTTTAAGTTGTTCTTTTTTAAGATGATATAGCCGCCATTGTTCACCTGATGCAACACTTGGTATCTTTTCTTTTTTAATCTTTTTTTTACTTTTCTGATTCTCTTCTGGCCAAAATAAATTGCGTTTGAATGGTGAAGGAATGACTTGGTTTGGCAGCTTAGATGTAGGTGTTGAAGGGACATGAGGTGTTTGAGAAATAACAGCACTTGTGGTAGCTTGGTTTAAAGAAACATTACGTTTTTGTGAAGTTGCAGGCAAAATGGAGCTGGTATTAGTCTGGTTTTCATTTTCAGAATAAGGGAATCCAATAATCGCTCTTACTGCATCTGCATCTTCAATTACAGGTATAGCTGGAGAAACTGGTTGATAGTCATTCACAACCACTTCGGTTTCAGCAGAGGTATCGTTCAACATCATTTCTGCATTTGGATCCATTGTAAAAATTTGGAACCTGTTACTACATCATGAAACTCATTTTCTGAGAAATCAGCATTGATTTCTGCAGCTAGACTTTCTTGGAACTCATTGAAAATATGATTTAAATTATCACTTTCGTCAAAGTCATCTTGTATATTCTTGTTACCATTTAAGTCTTCAATAACAACTTGGTCCTCACTTTGCACTACTTGTTGAATATTACTGTCTTCTAGAAGCTGAACTTCATTCAACCACTTTTTCCAAACGGAAAACAATGCCAAGTCGGTTATTTCTCCTTAGTCCATTCTCCATCTGTAGCTTTAAACATATCCAACTTATCTTTTTCAATGAAGTTTTCAAAACAGTTGAATGCAGCTTTCAAATTTTGATTGTCTGGGAACAGCTGTCTTTGAGTTAACATAAGAGGCTCTTGTGATTCTTCCATACCAACTTCAGATTGAGGAATTTTAGTATAGTCTACTGCTGAAGGATTCCATGGGAAAAGGCCACATTTACGGAAGCCATTTTGTACCACCTCGGGAGTGACACGACTTTCGATTGCATTTTTCAGAAGAGGAGCAAAATGCTTTTTCTTCAGAACAGGGTTGTCGTAGTTCTGGTTTCGCCAATCTTTCACATTGTCTTTCCAACCTGCTTTAAGAGTCCGGAAAACGGCAACGTCGAGAGGCTGAATCAAATGTGTAGAGTTTGGTAGGAGTGCTATTAGTATTATTTCATTGTCATCACAAAATTTGCTGGTTGGCATTGTCAGATGGGAAACATGGCCATCAATAAACAGTATTACAGGTTTTTTAATTTTTTCTCTCTCAATCCAGGGATGAAACACATTAGTTACATACTCAAAAAAGAGTTCACCATTCATCCAACCGCTTTCTGACTTGCCAACACCCCAGTCTTTAGGGACACTCTCAGCTATTTCATTGGGGATGCGTACATAGCTAAATACTACTAAAGGGGGAGCAATTTTACCACTTGCACTGCAGTTTAGTAAAACTGTAAGACATTCTTTTTCGTCATTGTTTATGATTTGATACACATTTTTTGTACCACGTGGAACTAATACTTTACTGCCTTTTGGGTTAAAAAAAAAGCTGCCTCATCGGCATTGAAGAGGCGATCGGGATCTTCCAAAATGTCAAGCTGTTCGATGGCTTCCAGGTATGTGTGAATCTCTGTAAACCAGTTTAAGAGGCTATCTTTGGATACTACAGCTCTTGACTGTGTCAGGTTTTGCGCTATCCTAGCAGACACAGAAGGATTCCTTTTGCAAAAGCCAAGGTACCAAGACCGGCCTGGCCGGTCATCCTTTAAGGGGTTTTTTCTTTTCAAATCCTTCAGTAAGTGCTGGACACTGTCCAATAGCTGCTGCTGACTTACAGGAAAACCAGCTTTGGCAGTTGTAAAAAGCCACTTAACCAAGATTGATTCCTCAGTCTTATTTAGAACTGCTTCTGGTCCCATACGCCTTTCTTTTGGTGACTTCCCACTGAGCTTATTTTGCAAAGTTGATCTAGGTACGTTATTGTCTCTAGCTGCTGCCTTAATAGATCTTCCATTTTTAACCTCTTCAATTGCTTTAAGCATAGATTCTTCAGAATATATTAGCATTCGTCCCTTTACTGGTGGCATCTTGAGACCTGAAACCAAAACACAACAGTAGGTTACTTAGTTTTAAAACCGGCGTTCCCGTAGCTATTTTAATATTTTATTTAAATTGTATAACAAATTTATTAGGCCCAACCAATTTATTTAAATTATTAAAATTAAAGCAATTTTAATGTAAAACCATTTTAGCAAATTCGTTTTTTGTGTTTTTTCGTGTTCGTGTATGTGTCTTAAGTGTATCGACGAATCTAACCAAATTGGTTAGATGACCTATTGACGTTTTTGTTAACCTGAAGATGGACTTATTTTCAAGTCCGAAACTATAGTAGTGTAATACTGAAGAATCACTTGACGAAGCCAGGTAACTTAAACCATTTTGCTTAAATTTAGTAATCCAGAGGCTACCTCACCATAAAACCATTTTAAAATTGGTAAATTCTAAAATTTGGGCTAGAACTTCTAACTTGTGTTTAATTTACTGCTTGTTTAAGTAGTTGGCACCAGCAGTATCAAAAGTTGTCACCTGGTGCCAACTACTAAAGCAACTGCTTTTAGAGTCTAAATTCCTTTATGAGAAATTAAAGACATTAAAATACATTCAAAATAAACCTTAAACCCACTAGGAACAAAAAAAGCTTGTTTCAGAAGTTGGCACGGGGGTGCCATCTTCTCAAAACTGATTACTTCAGTGTTTGAGTAGATGGCACCCTTTCTAAACTCCTAACCAAGAAATTTAGCCAACCAAAAACAAGTAAAATAACATTACCATAGTTGTAATCTATATAAATAAAATTAGAGTTTTGTCTGTACATTGCTCAGAATTATATACTTTTAGGTTATTTTTACGTTTTATACATTAAAGAAGCAGAAACGAGTCTTATCTCAATTTCTGTCTGTCTGTCTGTCTGTCTGTCTGTCTGTCCCTTTGTCTGTAACACTCAAGATGGCATTTTACGCAATCTTCTCCGTGAAAACCAGAGTACATATCAAGATCCAAGTCATTTTAATGTATTCACTGGATTAGCGAGAGTGTCTTTAGTGATTTAAATATAGCCTCACTACTTTGTAAATAAAATTACGGACGTTCAAAAATGCAGTTTTGTGCGATTTTTGTCAAATTTTCGTTCAATTTTTATCACATAATCGTCTATGAAATAACGAGCAGCTGTTCGGATCAAGATTATTTTTTCTAGCTGTCAATGACATGTTTACAAATGTTGTTTACAAATACCGCAACTATTTCGAATCACGTTTTGAAAGCAAATCCCAACCGAGTGAGATTAAAAACGTTTTTCTTACATAACAGATTTAATTAATCGCAAGTGCAATAATATAGTCTAATAGTGTAACCGTAAATGAAATTAAATAACTAGACATCGTCCAAATCGGAACCAGAAATTCTTTGAGTATAAAATGTTTCTTGAGTTTTGACAACCAGAAAGAAGAAGACCTTGAATCAGTGTTGTATAGGGCTGTGACACTGAAATGATCGTCGCCAATAGCTTACAAAAAAGGTTTCCACTCATTGACGGCGCTTCAATGGCGGTTGTGTAAAGTATAAAGTAAAAAATCACAACTGCAGTGGGTGATGGTAACAGAGGTTTAACAGAGGAAGTGCTAAACTCGCTTTTCCAATGTGTCACTTTCTGTTTCTACTCACCGTGTGATGCAATCGCTGGACCATACAGCCAATAGGCCCATAGCTCATATCTTGGGTACGTAAGCCTACATATTTATTCATAACAACCTTTTTGATGACGATCCTTGATACCGGTACTTTTCCATAGAATACATGGCCTACCTACTTAAAAAATAAAATTACAATTTTTACAAATGACCAAAACCCCAACATTGTGTGATTTTCGTCACATTTCCTTCTAATGTTAATAGATATACTAATCATTGTTTAGAGAATGCGTAATCTATTAAATAACAAAAAGTTGTTTGGGTAAGGTTGCTTTTTTTCAAACTGACACCGATAAGTTTACGCTATAACTTTTTAGGAGAAAATCCAAAAGCAAGAGATCAATAACCTCGGGACTAGATATTAATGTATTTAATTGGTCCGATTTACTATAGTTCTTAGGTAGGTTCTTACGTAGGTACTGGTTCTTTTCCTTAAGAACCGGTAGTTTACAAATTTGATATCGTTGGTGTTGCACCTTATTTATTAGAGCCGTCCGTATTCAATTTAAGTGATGTCTTAACTCTGTATAAGTTTTGCTTTTTCTGTCTGGATTCCAAATCTTAGCTTACCCGGTATGCTAAGAAAATGATAACCTATTTGAGTAAAACATTTGTTGGGCAAACCATCATGAATTGTTTACGCCTTTATATTGTTTATGTATCAATAGTTCGTGGCCTTTGTTGGATTGTTGTATTGTGTTGTTTTGTTGTATGTTGGTAACGCATTAATGTCCTTATTTCTCAGTGTTTCACGGAATGGACAAGAGCACCTTTGATACTGAAAATGTCAACCGGAATAAAGTGTTAAATGGTGAGGTTGAGGTAGTACTTTAAATGCGTTTAAGTTAACCGATGTGGAAAGTAACTTTCAATTATAGGCCTACTTTAGGGCTACGCTTCATGGATCTATAAAAGATTTTTTAGTTTAATCATTGGACATATGGACCAACACGATCCGGGTGACATTTAATTGCGAAGCATTTATTTTGGCTTGAACTGTCAGATACTGTATTTGCGAAGGTTTATAATATAATAGTTTTGCCAGCATATCTGCAAATATGCAAACTAATTGCTGTTCTTAATCTTAATATAAGAAGGTTTCAACTGACTACTATAAGATCCCCGTGCGTAGAACGGGCACACAGCTAGTACACAATAAATAAATCATAAGAAGCTTTTGCAATTAGTAGAGTTTTAAAAGTGATGAAATATAAACTTACCTCCTTATGAAAATCATTAATAAACTTCTAAAATTGGAGCAGTAGCAGAACAGGCTAACTTCACACAACTTTTGGAGGGAAACAGAAAGAGCTAGCTGTAGAGTGAAGAACAACAACAATAAAAGAAACTATAACCTTTTTTTACAAGTCATAGAGTTTTAAACCAGTAGACTGGCTAGCTTATTATTTAGGTTTAAAGTCAAAAGTGCCATCTACTGGCACAGTGCCATCTACTGGTGCATTTACCTAACGGCGAAGGCTCTATGACTGACAAAATCAGATTGAACTGGATCGAGTTAGGTTTTATTTGGCAGATTCTAAGCTTTCTCCCGAGGTCTGTCTCTAAGCACTTTTTTTTCTCGAGCCGATCATAATTGTAGCAGACAGCTGACGTGCGTATTTGTAAACAGCTTGGTTAACCTTGCACCGATGACTGATGTGTTTTATTACGTTTATCATTTTTTTGGTGTTAGAAATCAAAAGTAGTGATAGGCTATACAAAGTGAATTATAAGAAGATTTAAGTGATTTTGAAGGGCTGGTTGATGATCCTGATTGATTTTCAATTATTCTATTAAATTAACATTTGTGTTTAACGAGTAGGTACCTAGGTTAGCTGCTACAGGGAAACTAATAAATGTGTGAACACCTCTAAATACCGGACACGCTGGGTCTCGTCTCAAACAATAAGCATGCTTTATCTGATCAACATCAACTTAAGATTAATGCATTTGTTGGCTTTTAGTCTGTAGTACTTAGTAGTCATTGGCCACTAGATCCAGTGAGCTGCGATTGGTCATGATGTACACAGTTTTGACTAATTTCTAAAATCTCTTGTCTTTTTCTATAAGAAAACGGTCGAGTTTCTTAGGCTTTAATAACTATAGGGCCTACCTGCCAATTTGTGTTAAATTACAGTTGTTGATATTAATATTTAAATATTTTTCTGTCATTTTGCACCATAATAAAGACCCAGAAACTATTGTAAGATTAATTTTCAAGCCGTCCGGAATTAGGATGGCGAAATGTACACTAAGCCTAAGTTCGGAACACATGTCACAGCGGCACTCCCTAACTCCGGATTGTTACGTTTTTCTTTATACTTATATTTACTGATTTTGACTTGTTATTAACTGTAATTCGCTTCAAAATTTATTTTAATAGTATTGAATAAAATCATATATTTTCCAAAATGCACAAATGTAGAGTAGGCCTACTTTAAAGGGATATTTTAAGCAGAAAATGGTCTTCTTAGGCCCACTGCAGTAAGTTTAGGCTTGTTCCAAACTACCGAGCGTTACGTTTTTCGTGGCATATTTTTACTTGTAACTGGCTATAAAATCCATTTAATTATTACAATTAAAAATTATAAATTTTCCAAATATAACGAAAATGTTTAGGCCTAAACATTTTTGAAATAATCTTGTTAGAAGATAACTTAATGGTTTTCTTAGGCCTACTGAATCAGTTCCGATCTGCCGAACTTTACTTTTTTTGTGTTGTATACACATAATTAGGCTAACTGTAAACATCTATACAATCGGTAATTATTACACAATAATGATATTATATTTTCAAAATTCACAAATATTTAGTACCGTACTGTACTCTGGAATGTTATTCTTAACAGAAAATATTCTCTTAGGCCTAACTTACTGAAGCAGATCCAAACTACCGAATGTTCGGTTTTTTTTATGTTATATTTGTAATAATTGTTAACTTAACTGTAAACAGCTATAAAATCGGGAATTATTCAAATCTTTAAGTCATTTTCAAAACTCACAAAAATGTAGTAACTTAGCTTTCTTAGTTATTAAACGTTATTTATCAAATAACAAACCAGAGCCAACACACCCTCATCTCCCCTTACATGACTCACATTCTTGGGAATGCCATTCCAAAATACCAACTGACCTGCCATGGTTAGGCCTTCCACATTCCTACAGTAGGCCTATATTAACCATGACATCATTTTGTCCACTTGTTTATATTGAAATATAAAAAAAAAAAACGTTCCAGAGGTCAATTCGCTCCATCTCCAAGAATATGACTCACATTCCATGGAATGTCTAACCAATGCTGACCTAGTGAGATCATCCCCTTTACAACCATGATTTAACTAACTTAAACCCTTGTTATTTTTAATATGCTAAATCTTGTATGAGACAAAATTAAAAATTAAACTAGTGGCTTGTAGGAACATAAGTCCCTAAAAAGCTTACATGTTAAACAAATTAGGTATTCTAATATAAAAAAAACTTGGAATCTAATTATCGGGGTAGCGGATTTTTATCTCCCTGGAATTTTACCCTCTGGGCAAACGTGATGTCACAAACCAGGGGGTAAAATTCCGGCCGCGAACTTTTGAGTTTCGCGACATCAGCTCCGTGGATTAAATGCGGAATTAAACATATATTTTCACGGTTGTGAATTTAATCAGGAGAACACATCAAATTATAAAAACCTAGAGTGTACGGCCCGGATTTTTAAATTTTAGCCTGGGTAAAATTCCAGGGGGATAAAATTCCGGCGACCCTATTTATCTATGTGTCAGGATAGATATCCTTGTTCAAAACCTCTTTTGTGTAAAAAACATATTTTTGTTTGTCTTTATTGCTTGATGTTATTTTAAATAAATAATTTCAATGGCTCGAGAGGTTTAACCCTGCTAAAGACAGAAAACATGTTTGTGTATAAATATTGGTTTACTAAGGTAGCTTTGGTCTTTTGGTTAGTGATAAAAAGGCTTCCCTGATTGAAATATTGGAAATAGTCTTCGTCAAATATATGAAAAGACAAATAAAGAAGATAAGCTTACAACCGCTAAATTAGCACCCCGCCCGACCCATTATTATATCTAAGTTTATAATCCTTTTGTAAAGGGTTAATTAACTACTGCAAAACAAAGGCATCCTATTGACCAAACTTAGGCTAACCCTAGAGTTGTATCTGATCAACATTAAAAAACTGCTATTAGAGTAGTGTAAGTTTATGTTTCCTCCTAAAGGTGCGATTGATTTTACATATTCTATAAAAAAAGGGCCTAATCAACGCCTAAGTTAATTACTAACTATTTTGCGACTGGTTATGGTGCCATTACCCAGTTATCGAACCCAATCACAAAATTACTTTTCATCAGCATCTTCGACATTCATATTTTTGGATAGTTTTAAGAAACGGAAACTACATCTAGGCTAGGCTTTACTGTTATATATGGATGCTTCCTTTACTACCGTGCTTATTATTATAACCTTTTTGCTTGGAGCAATAAATTACAAAGTACCTGGTTAAAATTTCCTCCAAACAATATTATTTTTCGCCCATTGGAACTTGTCATAGTAATTACTAAATGAATAAATACCTGTAGGACTAACATATTTCATCTTTATTACCAGGTTGCTTTCTAAGAGTGGCCGTTGAGTCTATTCCACTTCATACAAAATATTGATTAAACACTACAATAAATCTCAAATATAAATGTTAGTGTAGATGTACAAAAACACTTTAGAATAAATCTTTGACATATGTTTTGAAATCAAAACAAAAGATCTTGAATCGTTTATTATTTAGTCAATGTGGTTATTTCATGTTAAACATTCTTTCTACACAACAACAACCTTCAAATTAGAAAGAAAAAACTTCATTATTTTTTCAGCTTTACTGAGTTTAATTCCTTTGATATGAGCCATCTCCTATGATTCTACTACTTATCATACGCCTAACTAATTTAGGCCTACTTAAAAATACACAAGTTTGCAAATTGCACAGTAAAACAATTGATTTCAACGTTCTAAGACGTAACTAAATGTCTTAATTATTGTAGGTAACGTTATCCCTGGTTTTATATAGTACAATGCAGAATTTACTGGAAAATGAGTAATCCATATATATATTAGAATGCTATTCTTACGGGGAACATTTTACGTTGTACCTAATTTTGTGTTAACAATTTGGGAATTTCACTATTTTTCCCACCGTCACGGGACCGAGACCTTTAATTAGGGCCCTCTCCCGTCGTTCTACGACTTGTTAGTCGCCCACAATTTTGACGCAAAGAACCGGCTTACGTAATTAATACAGATAAGAATAAAAATTGCTTCAATACGTTTTTGGGCTTCCTCAGCGCCCGCGGGATTGCCGTCCGGTACTAGGCAGCCCAAATCCGGTACTGTATTAGGAAATTCGAATCCGGTTAAGCAGTTTCAAAATGTTTGGTATTGGTTGAAAAAAACGCAATTTCTGGTACCTAATATAGCCTATATATTTTTATAATTGACTCCAAACCCTGAAAATCAAATGAGGAAATATTGGCAATCATTTTAATAACAACAAATAAGGCTTAGCCTACTACATACCTATAAATATATTTTACAGATTAATTCATAACCTAACCTTAACCGTTCGGTATTTGGTATACCTTAACAATTTTTTGAATTTTCTCTGTAACCAATCATTGTACAAAAACACAATGATATATACTTATGAATTTGTGTTTTAAGGGTAAAAAAATGAGAAGGCCAACACCCCATTTTTACCCCATAAAACTAATTGCGGGGTTAAACCCCGTTTCCATGGTCCGATCATGCTGGGTCGCGAAATTTTTCAACCTTATCCCGCTGAAAAAAATCTTAAAAGTAGTTAGGCCTAAGTGCCAAAAATGACCAAATTATTAGGTAGAACAACCTAACTTAAACTTAATTTAAACTAACCTAACCTTACCCATGCTCAGGTTAATAAGTAAAGTGCCAAAAATGACAGAGTTAGGTTAGTATTAAGATATTGACACATTTACCGGTCAAATGTGCCAATATTTAGTGAATTTTAATGCTTTTCACGATTTTCAATTGCGTTTTTCGGGGTAAAATAAGTTAGGTGTTTGCCGAAAGTGGAAGAGGAGTTAAGTGTTTGAAATGGCCTAAATAATGAGAAAAATATCCTTTACTTAAAGTAAAAAGAAGTTGGGTACAGTTTCTTAACTACTTATTAGTTAAGTTATATTGCAATTTTTTTTACCTTATCTAACGAAATTAGGCTATTTTAAGCACTTTTTCTTCTGGCACTTTTGAGGGCAAATCTTAGTGCTTCAATTTTTTTTAAATTTTTTATAATTTTTTTATTATTTAATATTAATAACTTAATAGGCTACTAACCTAACTTGATCTTACTTAACCTTGGTTTACCCAAAAATCGGTCATTTTCGTTGCTTTGCTAACTTAAATTAAGCATGGGTTAGGTTAGGTTAGATTAAGTTACTTAAGTTGGATTAAATTTAATTTGGTTTACCCAAAATCAGTAATTTTCGCCACTTTGCTATTTTTTACAGCTTTTCAAACCTGGTTTTCTGGGTAAATCAGCATTTTTTGCCGTAAGTGCTCAAGAGAAAATGTGTTTGGATGGTCTAAGTTAAATAATAAGAAAAGGACATAAATAAAAATAAAACTGTCAAAAAAATGTTTCAAGCCCCAAAAATCTCCCATTTCTAGCGGTTTTTGAGATTTCAAGGATGAAATAGGGGTTTCCCCCAATATTGCCAGAAGATAAAAGTGCTTAAAATAGCCTAATTTTGGTCGATAAGGTAACATTCAATATATATACCTACCATAAGTTACTTAAAACTTATAGGCCTACTTAAGTTCAGTATTACTGACATCCGCACTAGTGCTCGAGTAAGTTACTTACCCGCAGTACTATTCTGATAATAGACCGATCCGAAAACTAAGTACAAGGCAAAAATGTGGTTCGGATTCCATTATAAACTTATAACTTAATGTAGTTGCCAATTGAATGTATGGGGTAAATCTCTAATATGGCATTATAACGGTCCTAATTGGTTGTGTGTTCGCTTTCTGGTTCAGTTATCCTTAAAAATTTTACTATGTATGTTTCTGAGCACAATGCCTCCCCCCCCCACCCCGGAACGGCCGCGCGGTCGTGCTGGCTTCAACAAAACTCAAACGTGTCCTCTCCTTAATGTTAAATCCTCCATGGTCCAGCAGACAACTCCAAAGCGATGTTTTATTAGATCACTCAGCAAGCGCAAAATGGCCTTACTTGCCCCATACTTATATGTAGGCTAATAACATCCACTCCACACCGTGGTTCTTAGGTTTCTTGCAAATCGATTTTATGCAACGTGGTTTTCTAAATTAACATTGCTGTTTTGTTTAAATACCCTTCAGCACTCCCATATTGCTATAAAAAAGGGTATTGCCATTGATTCTGATTCTAAATTAAGTAAAAGTCAGCGATGTATTTGCTTGCGTTAACGCATACAAAACACCGCTAGTGCTTAAAGAATATTACAGCTAGCCAAAGACATTATCTCCCACGTAAATAAATGCAAAAATATTGCACAGTATGCAACTCAGACAACCGGCGATTATCTTGTGTAGATAACTATATTGTTCTATTATGGTTACCAATTTCCCCGTTGTGTTTGAAATAAATTTTAATTTATTAGTGTGTTTTGGCTTTTAGCAGTGGCCTAACGGAAAGAATATTCAATTTATTTTTGTCTCTTCAAGAAGGTACCTAATATTTATATTAATTATTTTACAAACAAACATAAATCTCGGATACTAAGCCCATCTAAAGTATCCTCGAATGGTCCTCTTAGTCCGGGCCTGGCTCTGTGATTAGAATTTTATAGCAAAGAATCACAAATTCACAAGCCAATAGAAATCTATTGCCAGATTTGCAATGTTTGCGGACGAGTGAGACAGTGGTGCATTGATCTTTAAAACTACCCAAACGATGATCAAACCATGAGGATGATAAGGTTAGGCCTAATCTAGTGACTGACCAACTAGTGATGAAAGTGAACACGTAAACAAACCAATTGTCTAAGAAACTCTGTCTATGAGAAAGGTCATACATAACTGTTGTGTTTTGGTAAGTCAAGGGAGTGATTCTCGTTGATTTACTCTAATGTGGCCAAGCAATAAACTAGAGTGGCATTGCAAAATGTTACAAAACTAAGACGAACAGTCGGGGGAAACCCTGACAACGCTAGTACAAGTACTTGGAAAGTCGAACCCGGGAGCTCTCTGGCAGTTTTTGTATGGGAGGGTTTTTATAGTGCAGATTTGCCACCGGGTGACTACCAAGTGCACCTATGATGAAGATGTGACTTGCTAGACAATGCGATAGCACGCTGTATTTTAAGCTGGTATTAACTATGGGTTCATGCTGGAGGCAGTGAATTTCAATGGAGGGGCTTAGAAACGTTTGTGCCATGCTATGTCTCAATTTGCATGGATATTATTTAGATAACTAGTTTAGAGTAGGGTATAGGCCTACCTAATGTTACCTTTTGGTATGTAGTGGCACTTTTTATTTTGTTCTTTTGTTTCTAAGTGTCTTACTTTCTGAACTGCCCTTCTCATAGTAAAACTTGATCAACTATAATTCTTTTTAAGCGTCAGCCTTTATTATTCGTCATTGTGCTAAATCACCTTTAGTAGCCTTATAGAGGTTTCTAACTTTTTTTTTGCCTACTATACGGAGGTACTAGGCCCACATGGTGGAATGCAAGCATATCGGCATTGTAAAAGAGCTATCGGTAATAGTGATCACAATTTTGTACACGTTTAGCAAATTTCCCATGTAGGGAAAGCTATTTCTTTCTCTTGTACTAATTGTCTGTTAGGTACTGATTATTGATGGAAAATTTCCATAATCTGTCCAGCAATATAAAGTTATGGACCAGCAATGACTATTGGTTGTTTCATTGTACAGGTGCAGTAGAAGATGTCGGAGATTGCTGAAAGCTTTGCGTCTTCGCTGAGTGAGCTGACAGTGAACAGCAAGCCGCACATCAACATGTTGACCATGTTGGCGGATGACCACTTGGAGTACGCTCCGATCATCACTGAAACCGTGCTCACTCATCTGCAAAAGGTCAATATAGATTTAATTATTTAATACCTTAGTTATCTAATCATTAATACTCCTGTCTCAACACCAAAGAAACAAATAGGCCTACATATCACCCCCATTCATTACAGCTGTTTTCCTACAGGTTTACAAGGTTGCTGCCACCACTCACAAAAGTTGCACTTTGGCCAGACATTTAATTTAAATGCTTATCTTGGTCCTGTATCAAAACTAAATTACACAGATACTCATGCTGATGTGACTCGATGACTATCGGTAATACAGTAAAATACCCCACACAAAAAATAATAGTTGGTCAAAAGCTATAATGATTTAAATTTGGAATAGTGATACTAAATAAACATAGTTTTACAATACATTAATCACAATCCACTGAGAATCAAGTGATGTAGGCCTAAACTAACAGATAAGATTTTAGTCAGCCAGATCTAAATTTTAGTCTCCCGATTCCATATTTAGTTAAGAAGATTGCTCAATAACTGACTTAGATGATGAAAACCCCAACTATTCCAGTGATAGTGTTTTCAATTAACACAATATCTATTCATCATTTATGTTGGCTGTTAATGTTATGTAACAAAAGATAGTCTCTATTACATGATTATTAGGTGTTTCAAAACTCCTAAATTACTGGTACTCAAAAAGATAGAACAAGGATACAATTGCAAAACATTATTTTCATTGGCATCAACACTTGTTTTGAAGGTATTGATTATTGCAACCTTGGATACTTGTGGAAAACACGCTTCTTGTTACACAACAAATACAACAATGTTTCTTTGATAGTTCCACATTGCCTTTAAGCTCCACTTAATAAAAAATAGAAAACTTAAATATTGATAAAACCCTAACTATTTTGAAAGTAGTAATATTTAAGATTTAAATTAACATTTTAATGAACAATTTTTAAAAGTACCAGTATAGTTAATTGAATCCTGATTGAAATTGTATCAACCAATTTAAAAAAAGAAAACTTTTGGTTAAGTAAAAACCAATCAACATTTCTGATAAGTTGTCATTACAGTAACCAATCAAGATAACACAACCTTTATAACCTTTATAAAACTATGTAACTAGTTATAACTTGGGTTAAAATCATGAACATAACTTGCGAATATTTTTTTCAACAAAAAGGCATATTTATTTTCAAATGTCAATCAACATATCTTGCAGATTTACAAGGATTTTACAAATTGTCTTTAAAAGGAGCTTAAGGTTAAACCCTAACTGTACATATGCATATTTATTTTTTTGTAATATAAGTAGCTTTTTTCTATTAAGAAGAACCATGATATATTTTTAAATACATGTGTTTTAGTACTAGCTTATTAGTTGTGTAATATTTTGTAAAGTGAACATTTATTTGTTCATTAAACTTCTTCAAACCGAAATGTGTTTTGATTTTCATGTCTTTCATAGACTTCCCAATAGAATTCCCAATAATAGGCCTAGTCAACAAACAGTTTGGGCCTACTGTGAAAAATATTTTTTTTAAATGTAGGAGACATGAAGAAAATGTAAAATTTCATGGACATTTAGTAGACTTAAAGCTAGAATGGTGGATCAGTAAAAACACTCATATCTTCAGTAGGGGCTAAATAGTTTCTTCTATTTTGTTTAATCTAATTTTACCATGGAAGCTCATGATGATTACCATAAACAAGAGGACTTTAAATATGCCTAATTACCGAGCTGCATTAGACAAAAAGAATTTTAGTTTTTCAGACCCCTGTTTATAATGTATGGAATAGGGGTTTTTATAGCCTCTTATTTTCCAAGTAAAAATACTAGATAATTATGTTCAAGACTAGAAATGTTCTTTCATGGGCTTTTAACAACTGTTTTAAGTGTAATAATGAGTAAAGTGTAGACCTACCATTATACAATTTGGAAGCTTCTAAACCAAACTTCAACATATATGTACCAAAAAAGTACACAATAATTAAAAAAATACTCCTTCTCATTGAACATGGGTCAGGAATTCTAAGTATTTTCTCTAAGACAGGATTTTAAGTCCAGAATTTAAAAGTTCCAAGTACAGTTGCCTCTGAAAGAGTTTAAGTGCTTTGCTTAGTAATTTTGATGTAAATTAAAAAACTTAATTCCTTTTTTAACAATTCATATTATCTCTCAGTAAGACCATAAGTTATTAGAACTCATAAAATGAACTTGGAATAATTTATAATAGAGAATAAGAGCAGTTATTTCTCAGCAAATGTTATGCCCAGCTTTTCAAAACAATAGGTTAAAAAGTATTTAACTTGTAACTCAATTTGTAAATGTGTTTATCATAATTTAAAAGAAAATCTGTATGATATGGGAGCTATTGCTAAGGTTGTGAGGTAAAGCAAAGCAGTGATTGGAGCCATGGAAGTGAAAGCAGCAAGTTTCCACTCAACTGTAGAATGCCAGCTTGGCAGCAGTGACTCATCACCAGTGATAAGACTGACTGATAGTGCCATCATTATAATACAATAATTGCCTTCAGTGTACATTAAATTCCTACTGTTAGTTTATTTTTTTTAAATAAAACTTACTTTGGATCATTGCATATCTTTATTTCCTTAGTTTGGAACTTAGAATTGTGACAAAAAAAGAGGGCAAAGAAATATTTAAGATTTGCCCAAGACCATACATAAAACTATGCTTGAAGTATCTCTCTGTAATAGCCACAGTGTTTAAATGGCTCTTTTGATACTTTGATGCCAAAACTTCAAGAAGTAATATTTTGGAATTAAAAAAAATATAGTAGCCTACATGAATTTGTTGAAAAATTAGTGCATTCTTTCAAAGAAATAAAATCAAAACAGCAGACTAGTAAATAAAAAATCTGCATCTTGCAAATAAAAGCTATCTTGGCAACAATAGGTTTTCAATTTAAAGGAAAATATGAAATATCAAATACCAGCAAATGTTAATGTACTAGGATATAACAAGGAAATATTCCAACCTCGTGGAATCTTTAATAAACACAGAGATGAATAATTAACTTGATTTATATAAATAATAAGATTTTTTTCCTTGGACAAAACCAAGAAATTGATTGGAAATCCTGTACATTTTGATTAGACTAAGAAAATGTATAACAATTTTATAATAAGACAATTAAGTATAATGCTTAATTGTGTTTCTTTACTGGATTTTCAATTCTGTGTTACAAACATCAATAGCTTTAATAAGTGGTAATTATAGTCATCAACAACCTTCCTAAACTTGTTATTAGGTTAGGCTTTAAAAGGTAAATAGTTTGGGTTTTGGTCAATCAATACAGCAATGACATTTTAGAGATTAACCAAACCCAATTATAGAAAAAAAACTGTGTATAATTTCTAGTTTGAAGACAGACTGTATTCTAGTAGTAAATATTATGGTAGTGGCTAGCAAAATGAACATTTAAGTGGTCCTGAAGTGGTGGTTGCTGGTCTCTAGCAATGATGCCCAGGTGAGTATTATCGTAGTTTTTTGTATTTATTCCAAGAGGTTGTAGAGTAAACAACAATAAGCAAGGGTGTATAACTTCAGTTTATTCTTCATGTGGTTAAATATTTTTTTTTTTTTCAAAATCACTCAGTATTTTAAATATAGGCCTACTCTTGGATTTGATTTTGACTGTTTAATTTTGATTAGACTTTTTTTAATATCCTTTTTGTGTAATTTCAATTAATTATAGATGCTGCTATAGAGAAATCTAAAACAAAATGTACAAAGTATGTAGTGTTTGATTAAAATAGATCATCTATTGATTTTTTGTGCTTTCAAATCAACTTGTACATTAGTTCCTATCAATTGATTTTGTAATAGATTCAAACTTTATTTACACTATCAAACTTTGGAGACATGATGAAATCTTCCTGATGATGAGAGAAGGTCCACGTGGGAGTAGCTTGGTCTCTCTCAGGGCAACGGGAAGACATGTTGTGTGTGTTGTAGGTACCTCCTGAGATCAAACTTCCTGTGTTGTACCTTATCGACTCCATAATGAAGAATGTAGGCAAGGCATACATCAACCTCTTCACTCAGAACATTGTCCAGTGCTTCACTGCCACATTTGAAAAGGTGAGTCAAAAATATCCTATCTTTAACCACGCAAAATCAACTGAACTGTTGGTAAAACTTTATTAAGCTGTAAATCTTAAAAGTTAAGGGCGTAATGTGGGTCTATTTTTTGAGGACACATTTTTATTTCCGTAATTTGATACAGTTTAATTGGGTATCTACTACTCCAGGAAAAGTCCCCGATATTTCAAACAATTTATTAAAAATAAATATTTTTCTAAACAAAATTTTCAAGCGTTAGACGTATGTATAAAGATCACAGCATTCTTTAGCAAGTGTTGGACGTATATATTCGCTGCATCAAAAGTGTCAACCTTAACCATCAAAAACCTTACCCTTGAAAATCAACCTTAACCATCAAATAGATGTGGAAAAACATCAAAATTTCAAAATCAATTTTTTAACCCCAACTTAATTATTAACGGCGTAGTGAGTAGGAGTAAGCCACCACTCAGGAAGGGTTAAAGTTTATGCAAAACAAGTGAGTTTCTAAAGATTGCTAGTAGTTGTTCTGTTAACTTAATTCAGTAAATCATTTCACTGTCAACCGTGATGTAGCAAATCATCAGCCCAACGTCTTATCAGCTGAGAACATTGTATCTTGTACCAACCCTTTGAGATTGTATTTTTTTTCTTCATTTTTCGGCGAGTATAGGTCGCCATTTGAGCAGTTTCTTGACTGCACAAATGGCGCCCGGCTACCTATACTCGCCATTCAACTGCAAAGGGTTAAATATTTAAATATTTCATTATACTTTACTAGGACACAGCACCAAATTTGCCATGGTAGTATTAAAAAGGGGTGGTCTAACCAGGCCGGCAACCGCCTAGGGCCTGGAGCTCCAAATAACTTATGAAAGTTAGAATAATTTTTTCTCACTTACAAAAATACCCCTGCCGCAGCAAACCTGCCGACTAAGCGAATTACCATTTGTCTGAATTGTTTTTAATCAAATCTATTTAAATAACATTATGTTTAACGAGTACCTAGGTTTGCTGCTACAAGGAAACTAATAAAGTGTGTTTTTTAGTAAAATATTAATATAATAAAATAGTATAAAATAAATAAATAAGCCAAGTTTGATCAAAATATATCCATAAACAGGCAAACTACAACATTTTACAATATTCTCCATAAGAATTTTAAATTTACAATTTTTTGAATTTTCTCCGTTACCAATAACCGTACAAAAAAACTTTGATACACTAAATTGTTTGTTTTTTCAGCTCTTTCAAAGGTCTTGAGATAAATTGGGAAATTATGTGTTTTGAGGGTCAAAAATGAGAAAAGCCATTTTTTACCCCATAAAACCCCCATAAACCCCCGTTCCCATAGTCTGATCATGCTGGTTTGCGAACTTGTTCGAATAAACGTAGGTTTACACGTTTATACCAAATTTCATAAAAATAAAACCATTTTGCTCGAGTTATCGTGCTAACGGACATACATATATGAATTTGAACGGATAGTGTCTTTGGCCTCTAGGGACCTCAAAATGAAAAAATTATATCGGTCCCGGGTCCATGTCTTACCATGAGTACTACGGTAATAGCTTATTCCCTATATGGTAATATATGGATTTTTATCCCATATAACCCTGTTCCCATGGTCTGATCATGCTGGTTCGCTAACTCATTCAAGATTATCTCGCCCTACACATTCAAGACAAATTTCATCAATATCTGACAAAATTACTCAAGTTATCGTATTCAATGACACATATATGTGATGGTGTTTTTGGCCTCTTGGGACATCAAAATGAAAATTTAAATCGGTGCTGGGCCTAGGTCTTATTGTGCCACCTATGGTAATAGCAACTTCCCTATAGGGAAATTTGCTAAAGGTACGTAGTTATGTCTCCGCGATAGCTATGGATGTTCATTATTTGGCCGCAATTGGAGGTGTGATGATTATGTTTTTTTGAACATGGGAGATGCTCTCAATTTTATCACAATCACTGAAGACGATAATTTTTGTTGTTATGGTAGGGCTCGATGATGATTTCCTCGCCCAGAGGGATTCATACAATTTTACTGAGATCTCAGGGTACGATGATAATGGCCTCGTGATTGTGGGAGATGAACAAAATTTGCTACCTATTAGTCACCTGCGAAGGTTGTCCAGCCATCATGAAAACCGAAAATCTTGTTTGCATTTGATGACTGGGAAAAAGACCACATTAACTTTACACAAATTATATGAGACCAGGCAATTTTTTATTTTGAATAGTCACCAATAAAATAGGCCATTCCTAATAATTAAAATTTTTCTCATTTTGTGTTGACCTGTTAAAAGAATATTGTGATTGCGGAATCAGTATTTATAAAAAAAAAAACAAAAAACAACACCTACATAACGTTTTAAGCAAGAATACCTTCCCTGCTGTACCTCTTTTCAGTTAGTTGTACATGATTAAACATATTTTTCGAATAGTACAGTCAGTTCTCCCATACCTTTATTAAAAAGTATTAAGTTAGGTAGGCCTATCTTAAAGTAACATTACATGTTATAAAAACCATGTACAGTACAATGTTTTACTGTGGTTCTCATAACCCTCAAATGCCCTAAACAGTTGCAGGTACAGAATCTCCTATGGTTTCACCAAACGGAATGTCCACACATAAAATTGGCTTTTTTGTCAAATCTACAGTAAAAGGCATTATGAAAAATAGACATCATAAATACACTTCCCTTGAATAAAAAAACCTTTGTAATTCACTTCAACCGCTCTAGGAGGTATCAGTTTGGAGAATCAATAAATATTTGTATTGACACATCACTGTTTTTAATGAGTTAATCATAAATTGCAGGTTTAAGAATTAGTTTTTTATTTTCTGCTTATAATAATATTTAAAAAAAAGTATAGGCCTACTTGTGTCAGACAATATTACAATAATCACAAATTTTGTTCCTTTAACTGAGTATAATTTATTAAATAACTAAAATAGTAAACAATGTTAGCGCTAAAACAGCATAGTGGGAGTTGAAACGAAAACAGGTTGGTTAAAGTTTGGTATGAAAAGTATGGCCTGAACTACCAGGAATTACTCATGAATTTTTTCTGGTTGGCCTAGTGGACACCCTGAGAAAGCGTCTGCAAAGATTTTGCGACTTGAATATTCATGCTTACTCCGTGATCGTGGAGGACGAACAATTATAGCTTCTTGCCCGCAGAAGATGTTTAAGATTTTTCTGCGATGGTTATAAACTATAAGAATGTTTCCATGACCACGGGAGATCATGATCATGTTTACATAAACGTTTGATGAATTTAACATTTTGCCGTGATTACAGAAAACGATAACCATGTTTTTTCCATGACCATGGGAGACGATCAATGTCTACATGACCGAGGGAGAGGTTTTGAATTTTGCCACGATCACAGCTTCAGCCTTCTTTAATAACGATTCTTATTACTGTGATTTTAAGTTTTAAAATTCTTTCTGTTAGCGATTCGGATATTTGGAGTTCTACTGTATATACTACTTGAGTAAACTGTAAACTATATAGAAACAACCACAGTAATGATTAAGTATACTGCAGTAGCGAAATAATAGACATAGATTTTTAATGCTGTTTACTGATAAAACTTGTGATAAGATTGGCTTTATTGGACACAAAACCATCTTCATACAACTCAAAGAAGAGTTTATTTTGAAGAAGCTGAAGGAAGATAAATTTTTGTTTATAACACTAAAGCATTATAATATATTTTCTCTCTCCAGCCACTTCAAGGGGTTTAGTTCATACAAAACATAAACTATATTTTAACTTTAAGGCCCAGCGCACACGGTGTGACTGTTTTAACAGCAACCGTTGCAAACCAGTTGCGACTGCAACCAGTTTGCAACTGAAACAAAGCTTCTGTCCGCACACGGTGCAACTGTTTTACAACTACAGTTGCGTATATTCTGCAATCAGTGGAGTTAAAATTGTAAGTGCAGTGACGTTGTTTTTAAGGCCTTGCTTGTTTTTAAGTGTTTTTAAGTACAATAACAACGTCAGACTCAGACGAAGAAGACGTTATTAGTTATTATGAATACCGAAGACACCGTAGGGTACAGAGGGAGCATTGGGTTCACCCTTATTTGAGCAATAACGTCAGGCGTAGGCTGTTTGTAGCAGCTAGAGAGCTGTCACAGTCGGATAGGAAATTTAAATCTTGAATGGGTTGTTTACCTTAATTATTTATGACAACCGCAAACAAAATAGACCGAGAGCAAAAATATATTTTTCACCTCACTATGATGTTTTTAACTGTTTTAATTGGTGGCTGAACGTTTTGCTGGCCAAGCCAGCTGTCATTGTCAGTTGGGGACCAAGCAGGTTTTTAGATCCCTAGGGCCGCAAAATCAACTGTCCGCTTACTTTCTTAAAACATGAATGCATATTAAATACACAAGCAGTATCGCCATTTCCTAGCAACTATTATTTATTATTTATTGCTGATTCTTCAATGATTTTTTCACATAACCTTTAAAGGTTGTAGTTCTGTTTAACTACATTCTTATTGTGGTGAATAGTTAGTTGTAATATGTTGTAGTGTGGTGAAATATATTTTTCTTCACCCCACGGCTAGAGAACATTATAGCAAAGTAGTAGTAAATATGAAACAGTCCTCAAGAGTTGGCTGTCATTACCAGTAATGTAGTGTTTAGTGGTTATGGTAAAATTAAATTTATAATATTTAATTAATTAAATTAATTGATTAGTTTTCAAATAAATAAATTAATTAATTTATAACATTACCTGGCAAACCCAATTCAATAGACACATCTTGCCATGCTTTACCAGTCAAATCTTTCCTTGAATATTCTGGCAGTTTGTAGTTGTACAGAACTTCATGTTTCTCTACTTCTCCAACGAGCTTCCAAAGTTGAATTCTTGATCATTCATTTTGAGATAAACACTATACGGCCGTCAAAATATCAACAAATTTCCACCAAAACACCACAAAACACCCCGTGGTCTCGTGCAACTGGAGTCTGCAACGCAACTG